TCGAGACGGTGTGGTACATGGCAGAGTGACAGACACTTAGACCAATGGAACAAGACAGAGAACCTAGAAACAGCAACATAAATATGCTTAGCTGGTTTTTGACAAAGATATAAGAGCAATTCAGGAGAGGAAAGATTCGTTTAATAAATGGTGCTAGAACAAGGGGGCGCCCTCTAAGGCATCTGCCTTTTGTTTTTGTTTTTGATTCTGGGATGGAAGCCAGGGTCTTTGCTTTGACCTCCATCCCCAGCTCTTTTATTTTGCTTGGATTCTCCTGTCTCAGCCTTCCTGCAAGAGTGTGGCACCAGGCCTGGCCTAATTCTCTACTGAATTTTATACCTTGTATAATGTAACATTAAAATATAAATCTGTTAGGAGGAAAAAATGGAGAAAGTCTTTAAAATATAGGGCTAGACAAGAAGTTCTTAGATTTGGCCCCACAGAGATATAATCATAGAAGAAAACCCGGGAACTGGACTGCCTTAAGACCTAAAGTGTTTACTCTATCAGTGGGCTGGTTCAGAAGTTGCAAATACAAGCCATGGGCCAGGAGTGTGTGTTTGCAAACTATGCATCTGATGGAAAAGTAGTTTCTGATACACAGGTAACTCTGGCAGCTCAGGAGTAAACCAACAATATAATTAGCAAATGGCAAAGGACATGAGCACCAAAGAGGGTACACACCCAGATGGCAGACACACACTTGAAAAGTCATTCAATAACATTCACTGTTTGGGATTGTAAAATGCAGCCCAAAGTGATACCACTGTGCCTCTAAACAGGACAGTGCCTGCACTGTCTGGGTTCTCCAGGGAAATAGAGCAGAGGATGACCAGAGTCAGGGTGAGGAGCTGGCTCACATGAAATCGAGTCCAGAAAGACCCTTGATTTGCCACTCATGTGCTGGGGGCACAGGGAAGGGACAGTGCAGTCCAAGTCCATGGGCTCCAGGTCCAAGAGGTTGATGTCCTGACTCAAGGAGTGAGACAGGGAAGCAATGAGGAAAAACCCCTTTTCTGCCCTTCTGGGCTACCTGGGCACCTAGCAGGACCCACCTGAATGTGGAGGGCCGGCTCCTTGACCAGACCACCCACTCACACCCAGTCTCACTGGGAGGCACCCTCAGGGACATGGCCGGAAATAAGGCTTAATTCCAGATATCCACAGCCGGTCTAGCTGATGTATAAAATTAATCATTGAAACACCAGCTGCAGGCAAGGGTGCGTAGAAAATAGTGATGTACTGCTCACGGAATGCAAAATGGGGCTGCTATTGTGGAAAGCAGTCCAGCAGCTTCTTCAAAAACTGACAGATGTAGCCAGGTGTGATAGCCTGGGCCTGAAATCCTAGCTGCTTGAGAGGCTGAGGCATGAGGATGGATAGTTTGAGATCAGCCCAGGCAACTTGGCAAAAGCCTGTATCAAAATAAAAATAAGAAGAAATAAAAGCCTGGGAATGTAGTAAAGGAGCCCATTCTGAGCACGTGCAAGACCTTTGGTTCAATCCCCATGACCACAAAACCAGAAACAAATAAACAAAAAACTCCAGAAACCAAAACAAACAAAACCCCCTGAAAGATGCAACTACCCTGTAACCCAGCAACTGAATTCCTGGGCATTTATCCCAGAAAAATGAGGACCTGTTCCTACAAAAAAACTATCCGTGAATATTCACAGTACCTTTATTCATAACCACCAAGTGTGGAAACTGTTGCAGCTTGGCATAACTGATGCCATCTTGAGCCCTACATTTTATTGTTCTGTATTTGACTCAGGAGAATGGAAAATTACTCAGGGTACAAATCCCATGAGAAAAGCAGCATGAGCTCTACCCACAACAGAAAAATTAACCTGCTCAACAAAAGAAGCAGGCTACAGGTGTCAACCAAAAATTAATGTAAGATTCCAGCTAAAATGTTTCCGATAGGATGCCTTTTTGTGGTTCTCTGTTTAAAAGCTTTGTAATTTTTCCAGTTCAGGGCCCCTTGGTGAGACGCTGAAATGGGTCCACAGGAGTGGTCGATGAGCTCAGCTAATTAAATTCCAAATGTATCAATTTGGCTGCTTGGGTTCTTACACTGTTTACGAACCTACTTCAGAAACAACACAGATGTGCCATAACAGGTGTATGGTCAGACATACTAGTGCATCCATGAAACAGAATCCTACCCAGCAATGAAAAATGAGTAACTGCAGTCACTTGATGAGCCTGCGGCGACCCACACTGCCCCCCATGGTTATGGGCTGCAAGGTTCTGCTTGTTACTCCAAAATTATGGTGGTTGCCAGGCACTGAGGGTGGGTGGAGCTAGAGGGGAGCAGGGCTGGCCGTAAAAGAGCAGGTGGAGGGGGCTCTGGGAGTGCCTGTGTCCACACGGTCAGGGTCTGTACCCTGGCGGGGACACTGTGCCATGACCTGGCAAGACATCACCCCTGCAGAAAGCAGGATGGAGGGTAGCGAGCTCTCTCTGTCTCACATGACTGCACCTGAACTCATGATCATTTCAAGATTAAAACTTTCCTTTGCAAGAGCCATCGTACAATTAATTACCTTAGCAAAAGATTGGTAAGCTCTACATATCAAAATATGACCGTGATTAATATTTTATATCTCAGGATTGTATTTATTTGTGCTGTTACTGTTTTTCTAGTTTTTATTTTTATTAGTACACGTAGGCAGTACATAACGATGGCTTTCCTCCCCGCGGGGTGTGGGTGCACGTACAAAACACATCTTAGTCCTCTGCACCTCCTTCCTCTCCCTCCGTCTGTCTGTTAGATAGGGATCCATCATGTGCTTCGAGAGAAATATTCATGATCTACCAGATAGCAGTCGTTCCCCAAGAAGAGTTGAAATAGTGAGATCTAGTCCAGTCTGTTTCAAGGAGCTAACTAGGTAATTCCAAAACATACCCAGAAGAGGAAAAGGTCAAAAATAGCCAAGAAATAGCTAAGTGAGGAGAACATCGGCCTGGCCATATTTCAGCCTCAAAGTACAGTAGCTGAGTCAGATAGCATTAGTGCTGGGACTGATGGACCAGCCATGGGCCAGAGAAACAGCCCCAGCCTTGCACGGACACGTGGACAGTGGGGTGTACGCCCTGGGAAAAGGGCCAGTGTGGTCAGTCAAGGGCGGGAACCATGGAGTCTTTCCTTGGGGAAATGGATGTTGCTTCCTGATCCTGAAAATCTGAAAGAAGCTACTTACAACACCTAGACACAGCAAAATGAATATCTAAAACACACAGATAGTTTTACAGAGTCATAAGGAAAATATCAACAACAGAATTTTAAAGAGCACTTTAGGAAAGATGTCTCTTACCTGAGGAAGTGTGACACTGGTCAACAGATGTACATAAGATGCTTAACTAGTCATCAGAGAAACAAAGATTCAATCCAAATGAAGCACTGTTTCACCGTATCACACTAGCAAGAATAGAAAGTCTAACAGTACAAGGTGTTGGTGAAGACATGGAGCAATAAGAACTCATGCATGTTATTGGTAGGATGGTACAGTGGGTAAAGCCTCCTTGCAAGGTGGAAAGTGATGGATATTTAGTGAAAATGCAGATTATCTGAGCACATGCCCCAGTGGTTTCCTTCTTAGCACACTGTCTGCATCAAGAGACAAGTGGAAGAATGTTCTCAAAAGCACTGTTTTCTCAGGGAGGATAGCTGGAGTTCGTGCACATAGCCATCAAAAGGCTGGTGCATACCTACACCTTCAACAGAACTGCAGCTGCACAAACAACTGATGCTGATTTAAAAAGAAATAGCATGAGGGAAGAATATATCAAAGAACGCCTGCACACTTCCATAGAGGATTAAAGCAGGTAAACTATAAAGAAAAGCAAGAGTGACATTAAGTTGAACACTTACAATAAAAGAGACCCTGGATAGCAGGGCAGGTAGGAGATGCGTTTGGAGTCAGCCCACCAGAGTTTAAAGACTGTTGCTTATTCTTCTGTTTGTTAAAAAGCAGGAGCTGTGTCATTATTTAAATTGCACACACATTGGATGAACGCCCTTCCAGGCATGCGGACTTCAGCCTAAAGCATATAATGTTTTCACAGCAGGCAGAGAGACACAGAAGATCCTGTGAAGCAGCCGGGCGGGTGCCAGGGGTGGGGAGGTGGCAGCGCCCATGCAGGGAGAGGCATAGGCCTGGCTGGGGCCAGGGACAGAGAACTGGTGTGAGGGTGCGGCTGGAAGGTTTGGATATCGGTGTGGAGGGGGGGGGGGCAAAGCAAGATGAAGGAGGAGGAGGTGGGTGGGGGGAGAAAGGGAGGAGAGGGGAGCTCACCAGAAGGAGGAGAAGGAAGGGAAAGGAGCCTTCCTGGAAGCAGGAGGTCAGTAAGGTCCTGGCCCATCGTCCCGCAGCCCCACCTGGCTCTAGGCTGCTGGGTGCCCTCGAACATCTCCTCTATCTCGCCACTCAACAGCTTCGGATCGATGACCAGACGTCCGTCGCTGCAGACAAGCACCCTTGAGTCCTGGGACGGCCACCCTCGGGAGGGGCCAGGTAACACTCACTGAGACCCAAAGGCGCAGAGCGCGCCCCTGGAGATGGACAAAGCCGGCACCTGTCTCCCAGGCCACTGGTGTGCTGTGCAGTACTACAAGACATCACCGCCAGCCCGGCCACGTTAGAGCTCACTGAGTTCTGCCCTGTGACAGACACATCTTTTTCAATTCTTGGGTTCTGTAATCCTTATTTTGTAGACATGAAAATCCAAATGTAAAGAGATACTGACTTGCCCCAAGCCACGAGGCGAAACTAGAGTTCAAACTTGTTCTGCCCAGTTCCAGAGCTGAGCGTACGCTCTGGACACTGCGGGCAGAGTTGGCGCAGAAAGCTGGGACCCTTCCTCACTTAACAAAGCACGACACCAGGGCCAGGAAAGCACTGCCCAGGGCCCCTGGAGGGTCAGGGTGCACTGTACAGAGCAGGGCGCCAGCACGAGGCACTTGGGCCGGAGGCTGATTTTTGCATCCACTCCAGTCCTCAGTTTCCCTACCAGGCCCACGCAGACAGTGGGCCGCGGATGCTCCCTGCCTAGGAGGTGGGGTTGGGAGTGGTCACGTGGAGGGGCGCCGGGCCCCCGAGCCCCGCCCCGGCACCGCCCCCTCTCCCTCTGCACCCGGAGCTGAGCAACAGCCGTGGGGCACCGTGCGAGCTCCCGCCGCCACGCCGGGGCTGCTGAGGTCCGCGCAGGGGTCCGGGAGTACCTGCTCACTGCTGGACCCACGCCAGGTCGGCGGTGTAGACAGCTGGCCCAGCCCCAGCAGCAGCGAGCACTGGAGCGCGGGCGGCGGCCCGAGCAGCAACGACACCATGGACCTCTCTTTTATGGCCGCGCAGGTAATGGGGGGCGCCTGCTCCACGCGCCCTGGGCGCGGAGTTTGAGGAGGCTTGGGGTCCCTGCCGCGCCCTCCGGGTTGGGACTGCGCGTGGGCGCCAGCCGGGATCCATGTCCTGGTTCTTTGTCCCGAGCCCGGCGGCCCCACCTGTGCGCGCGCCCGAGCTGGCAGGCTCAGGAACCCCCTTCCCCCAGGTGGGCGCGGGGCTCCTTGGCACCCTGAGTGCAGGGACCCCATTAGCCGAAGGCTTCTAGGAACCCCAGCAGCCGCAGGCGCCAGCTCCTCCCCACCGCACCCCACTACCCCCTCCTCCTCCTCCCTTCCCCTTCCGGACCCCGGAGCCATCCAGGCTGGTGAGGCGCGGCCCAGAGAGTGGGCCACCCCGCTGTCCCAAGCCGTGTGCTGCGCGGGTAGTCTGTCGCTCTCTGGTGACCTCGAGTGCGCCCTGTCCCCAGGGAGGGAGGACCGTAGCCCCTGCTGCCTGAGGGAGGCGGTGGGAGCGGCTGTGTGACCTGCGGAGCATCGCATGGAAGCCCAGCGATCATTCTATCGATCTTTGCTTTGCGCCCGGTCGAATGGCCATCATGCCTGGCAGGACCACAGTCCTTTCCTGCACGCAAACAGGCTGCTGGGGTAGGAAAATCGGCTAACCACCTCCACCAGCTTAGCTCGAGCATCCTCCTGGGGTGGGAATCGCATCTCTGGCCTCAGCTCTTTGGAGCCAGAACAATGGCAGAAGCCCTGCCGGGGCGGAGCAGTCAGTGGCCCCTGGGAAAACCCAGTGCAGACCGCTGGAGCAGAGCTGTGTGTTGGGGACAGGAAGCTGCAAGTCAGACCTTGCAGCTCTGATGCTGTGGTGGTCACTCTGGGGGCGAAGGGCAGGGAGGCCACCCAGGCTATCCTTCTGTCTCCTGGGTGTACTGCAGGAACCCCACCTGCTGCTCCTCCTGTCATCTGGAGGAAGTTGGAAAAGATGCTGCTTTTGCCCAACTTCACCTGTGATAGAAGCCAGTTTTAAATACATGGGCAGAATCCATACTCTATGTGGATGGCAGGTCCTGGCGTGGAGGGTCAGAGGACACAGAGTCCCCAGGTCAGCGCCAGGGAGTTCAGATCCCAGCTTTCCTCCGCCCCTTAATGAGTTTCCCAGATGCTAATTGCTGACAGGAGTATTGCTTCTCCTTTTCTGCCTGATCACTGATCTTTTCCTGAACCCAGGCCTGGCCATAGTGTCAGGTAGAAAAACAGCCGTCACCCTCGCAGATGGAGGTGGCTTTCACTATGTGATAACTGAGGAGCTTTTCCAGGGTTTATTTCTAGGGGAAACAGGAACTCACCAGCTGTCCATGGCTGCCTTGCCCTCTGGACACCCACCTGGTGTTTGCATGGTTATGAGGTAAATTGATCATTGTTCCTGGAGCATCACTGTTGCTATGGTGACTTATCAAAATAAACACAGGGCTTTTCAGTACCAGTGGACAAAACCTACCAAGAGACAAGGAGACACGGAAAGAGACTCAGTTTTTAATTATTTATTTATTTACAATTTATGTTCACTTGGCCAATTTTTTTCCTGCTAACAAATGTTTGGCGTCAGTTGCATGCTCAGTACTGTGCCAGCCACAGGGAGCAGAAACACTGGAAAACATGCTAAAGGTTCCTGAGCGTCTATGTCATGCTAGATGGAGCCTGCTTAGCGCCCTTACATGCTGCAAATGCTCAATGGTCTGTTCTCATTTTACACATGGAGATGTTAGATTTCAACAAGATTAAATAATTTACCCGAGGCCACTGTTTGTAAGGAGAACAGGTATCAGCGCTAAGCCGGAGTATCTGGGTGTCCACTTGGCAGCGTTCTGGGTCTCTGCCTTACAGACGAGGCAGCCTAATTTAAGATGATTCCTTTCTCCCCCTCCACCCAGAAGTGGTCTCCACAGAGGAGAGATGAAACTCCCAACCTGCTAGATGTCAGATGTGGCGCCCTGAGATCAAAGAATGAATTCTAAGGAACAATGGTGGTTAAGAGTAGGAAAGATTTATTGAGAAATAGCTCCTGGATTCCCAGGAAGGATCCCATGAGTAGCCACCAAGGTCCTTTGTCAGGGGCACTTATACATCAAGATCATAATGTAGGTACGATGTGGTCAAACTATAAACAGCCTGTAGGATACAAGTGTAGCTGCTTGGCTAATATTGATCCGGTAGGAATGCCGGTCTTGTAGCAAGGAGACATGGGAAGAACAAAGCACATTTTGGGGAAGGGGTGGTTCTGGATGCTCTGGTCACTCATGTGGGTGATCTATAGCTTTCTGGACTTCCTGGAGCAGGTGGGGCTAATGATCGTGTAATTCTGAGTTACTGCTGATCCCTGCTGGACCTCGTGTGGGCCTGGTCATTGCATCTCTGTCTTGAGGCCTGTCTTCCGATGCACCACCAGCCACAAGTCTGGGGTCTTTATTTGTTCTGCTGCTTCTTTGAGAGCCCAGTTGGTACTAAGGTGGCTCTCCAGTGAGGGACTGCGCAGGGCTTGTCCTGAGAGGGTACACATCTCCGCTCAGGTGTGTGCAGTGACCACCAGGGCTGAGTGCCTGTCTCTGTCCCTTACACACCCACTTTTTCTGCACTGGGGAGTTTATAGAGAAACATCTGTGTGTCCCCCTCTTCCTCAGTGTTACTTACCTCCCCCTCACATTAAGCTCTTATCCAGGCCCCAGGATGGGGACTCGGGGGTCCGGGGTTGAAAGGTGTTTACAGATATTGGACAAATGATGGGTCAGCAAGGGCAGTGGATTGGGCAAGGGCAATGGACAGGCAACAGGTCCAGTCAAAGTGAATCCTCAACAGACGGGTGGATAAGGATATGATGGGATGTGGGTCCAGGAAAGAGGGAGTACGAGGTGTCAAACGGGAATGCCTGTCATCTCGAGGACTCTGGGAATGGGGCTGGAGATGGGTTAAGACTGTGAGCGGATTTCCTCAGTGGTCCTGTGAATTAGTGTTTTAGAGTGACAGGAAAGCAGGGAAATCCAGGAGACAGCTCTCCAGAGAGCTAGAGGGTAAGGGACACAGCAGCACTGGGAGAGTGGGTCCAGGGAGGTTCTAGACGTTCACATATGATGAGAAGCTCACATCTAACAAGGGTGGTGGGAGCCATGGTGGGTTAACTGATGAAGTGAACGAAACCAGGTCCGTGTGACTGCAAAGCCCACGCTTCCTCGCCATAGCCCTGGGATGTGTGATTCCCGTTTGTGACTTAGGACCCAGCACAAAGCCGCTTTAGGAAAGTTTGCATCTCCCATGCTGAACATTTGGAAGACACCCTTCAGGGATGTGTTGTGATGACCTCCTTTGTCCTGCAGATCCTTGTGCCCAGCTGTCTCTCCTGGGTGTGAAGACTCAGTGCTCAGTCATTTTTTCAAGCACCCTGGAAACACCCCAGGCCCCCTGGGTCTCCCAGAGAAGGCCCACCTGCAACTCCAGGCAGATTCCGGATACACCCTGGAGAGGGCTCCTGCTCTTGCTGTGTGGGCCATACTGAGGCCAGAGCACCAACCCAACCAAGCAGGACTCACCCCTTGGTCTCTGCTGGGTAAAGCAGGTCCTTGGCAGGAAGTCATTAAGCATAATGCCAATTCAGCAACTTAACCTACAGGCCCAGAAAGTATAACCTCAGAATTTGCCCCAAATTAAGGTCCCTGTTCCCCTCCCGGACCTCACCTGCTGTGCATGCAGAGTGTTGTGTTTTGGATATTTTTAAGCAAAGTAGTTCCTGTAAGGGGACATATGACCCCAAATCAGCTGGCTTAAGACAACAGAACTGTATTTTCTCATAGTCCTGGGAGCTGGAGGTCCGACTGAAGGTGTCAGCCAGGGGCTCCAGGTAGGCTCTGGGTGGGAATGCGTTTCCTGCCTGCCTCCTAGCTGCAGGCTGTGGCTGGAAATCCTTGGCATCTTGCGTTGTTCCAGTTTCTGCCTTGAACGTCCATCCCATGGCCCTCTAGGTCTCTTCTTCTGAGGACACCAGACTTTCTGGCTTAAGGCCCACCTGAGTGACCTCATCTTGATGACATCTACAGAGATTCAGTTTCCAAGTAAGGTCGTGTTCAAAGATGGGGGGTTGGGACAGAATGTCTATCTGTTGAGGAGTTGCAGTTCATTGCATGACAGACTCTGAAGAGCATAAAGGATAAGGGCATTGGCTCTTGTGTTCCTGGATACTGGTCTTAGAGATGCATTGAGCTGGTTGTTTCTCTAAACCTCAGTTTCATCATCTGTGAGATGGGAACAAAAACACTTCATTTTGCTCATTCAGCAAATGTGCTCCTACCTGGAGCCAGTCTCTGCTGGGAGGTGAAGGCAGGTACCTGGACCCCACAGGGGTCCCTCTCTAAGTGCGGAAGACAGGGGGAGGCTTCTACAAATTGCTAAGTTGCTAAGTTGATCCTGTGTAGCTGGGATGATTAATCTAAGATGTCCCCTGAAAGCCTCCTATGATTACGTGCAGGACCTTACATAGACAGGTTGTGGGGCAATATAGTTGGCTTGCTGTTGAGAGGAGGGTTTGGTCAAAGCCCATGCCATGAGCAGCTTGGCACTGCTATGCCCCTGTGCCATGCCACTCTCCTTGGCACCAGGTGACATGGACTGAAACCTCCACAAACCTTGAGGCAAAATAAACCTTACCGGCTTCAGGTTGTTGGTGCTGAGTACTTTGCCCCAGCAACCAGGAAAGTTACCACGGCAGTAGCTGTCTATGGATACAGGAGCCAGGCCCCTGCAAAAGTGTCTCCTGCTGAGTGGGGAGCAGAATGCAGGGGCAGGTGCTGAGGAAAGGAACCCTGGGTCCTCCAGGGCACCTGAGGGATGGAGAGGGTGTGTGGCGGCCGTGGAAAGGATCTGGCCTGGAGGTGCTTGGGCAGCCTGCAGCCCCTGGCTTCTCACTCAGCCATGGTGACATACCGGATAGGGCTCCCGGTGCTTCTGGGCTTTGGAGAAAGCCTA